AGGTTTGCTTCCAGGGCCCTGCAGACCTCATCTTCTGGCAGCCACAACCGCCCCCCCACCCTGCAGCCTAAATATTAAAAGTAGCTGGTATGGGAACCAAGATGGCAGCATAGGTAAACGCCTGTACTCACCGCCTCCCACAACCACATCAAAACTACAACTAAAATACAGAACCACCATCATCCAGAACCGCCTGAAAGCTGGCTGAGCGGAAGCCCGACAGCTAGAGAAGTGAACAAGGAGCACACTAAGGCTGGCAGGAGGGGCGGAGGTGCAGAACGGGCTGGACCGGCACCCCCGTGTGCCATTTTTTTAATCAGGAGGGAGATCATCCCTGTGGAGGCTGCCAGTGAGGAGCAAGGATCCCAGCTGCACACCAGACCCCCAAACCAGGTCCCAGAGCTGGGAAGAGAGTCCCCATAACTTCAGGCTTTAAGAACCAGCAGGGGTTGTGGCAGAGGGACATGGAGACTGCTGGAGACCCAGGTGTTCTTCTTAAAGGGCCAGTGCACAAACTTACTCAGACTCACCTCCTCTAAGCTCCAGCTGCAGGAGGCGTTGGGGGACCCAGACACATAAGGGAGGAACTGGATTGTCTGGCATCAGGACAGCAACTCGGGTGGCTTTCTCCCAGACAGGGGTCAATGCAGGGGTCATTGTTCCAGTGCTGGGACCTCCCCTGTCCCAGAGCTGATTGGCAGGCATATGAGTTCCCATCAACCTGGAGCACACTGTTTGCTCCACCCTGATGATTCCCTGAGACCCCGCCCATCCAATTTGCAGTCTCACCCAAGCTGTTTGCAGTGCCTTTTCCATATGAAAGGCCTGTCCTGGCTCAGGCGTCAGACTTTCCTGAAATCTCTCAAACAAGCAGCAGCTGGTGTCAGTATGCCCCAAACCTATCAATTAAAGGCCTAAGACCTGGCACTACCACCAGCCTGCCTTGCTTCACAGCTGGGCCTCACCCAGGCACTTCCAAACCCAATAGCAATAGGAGGCATCTGAAGATCTCTCTGTAGCTCCTGCTGGGTGGCCCCTGGCAGTGGCTGACTTTGCACCTCCCTGGAGTTCCTAGAACCAGTGCACCCAGTGGACAGCTTCAGATTATACCAGATTGCAACTCTACATATCCACAAGCAACACACTCAAGAGGCAGACTCAGTGAGCACCAAAGCCCCACTGAAGCAAGTCCTGCTCTATAGGGGTGTCTCCTGCACAGCAGCTCTCCCACTGTAGTTGCAGCTGGTCCTCACAGCCAATGGGCCTGGAGGTCAATTCCTCCCAGTGACACCAACAGCATTCAAGGCTCAAGTACAAGACTGTGCACATAACCCACACAGGGGCACACCTAGAGTGTCCAGCTCAGGTGACTGCACCCTACAGGACA